AGGCTGGTGTTACTGGATCAAAGAGTACATGTTGGGGATTAAAGTGTGAGAAGACTGGAAAGGTAGGAAGGGAGAAGGTTATGAAGAGCTTTAAAAGCCCAGCAGAGGGTTTTATGTTTGGTCCTGCAGGTCATAAGGAAGCCATTGGAGATTATTAACTGAATAAGTGATGTGGGAAGACCTGAGCTTTAGGAAGGTCATTTTGGCAGTCAAGTGGAGAATGAACTAGAGTGGGGGGATGCTGAGGCAGGGAGGCCAAACCCAAGACTATTTCTATAGTCCAGGCCTAAGGTGGTGAGGGCCTGTACCAGTGTGGCTGCAGTATTAGAGGAAGAAGAGAGCAGAATTAGAGATGCTCAGAAAGGTAGAATCAGTAGGAATGGGCAACAGATTTGATATAGGGGTATAAAGAGTGACTGAGGAATATGACTAGGTTTCTAGCCTGGATGGTGGGGAGGATGATGGTGCCCTAAATAGTGATAGGAAAAGGGAGGCAGAGCCAAGATGTTGGTGTATCAGGAAGAAGTACAGCTTCTATGTACACATCCACCCCCCAAAAAACTAAGTAACTGAAATATCTAAAAAATGAGCCAGACTGAATCCTGATAAGGGAATCCAATGAAAAATCACAGTGAGTCATTTTTCCAGCCTAGGTGGGCATGAGGAGACAGAAAAGTGTGTGGATACTGGGGACAGGGTCTAGCTAGGACCATGTCAAGAAGAGCGTTCCCACACCCAAGGACTGAAAGAGGACTAAGAGTGCACCAGGGCAAGACAGGTTCCCAGATGCACATTAGGGCACTAAGAACTCATGCAGGATGTGGGAACAGATACCAGCAGACAGCTTTGCTGCTCACTACCCAGTTCCAGGTTGCAGATCAGGGTGGACTGAATAGGGGGCTTTCCTTCAGGGGTAGCTTTTGGGGTAAGGAGCAGTGACAGGCACCAGGCTGTGTATTGGGTGAGGAACAAGTTCAGAAGCAAGGAGTAGCTTGCTCTTAACTCAGGAGTGGAGTAGAGTCTCATTTTCAACTTCCATGCCAATCTGAAGCCTGCAGAGAAATAACCAAGGCAGAAATCCCAGACAAAGAGAAACCTACAGTTCTGTCACTGAGCCAGTAGAACTTTCTACTTGGCTAATAGTGACTGAGTCTGGCAGAAGTCTACTGAACCTCAAAAGGCCAAGCCCATAGGCCTGTTGCTCAGACCTAAACCTGGATCAGGAACTTGAAGAGCTCAGACCAGGGGACAGCAATCAGACTTACCCTGGATTAGACTACCTTGGGAGCCCTAAAAGCTTAGCAATCCCCAGGCTGAGCTGTCTTTGAAATCCTGGAATAACACAACATTCAGTACCCTAAGAGAATAGCATCAGGACCAGCCCATCTATTCCCTCCAGAAGTATACAGGGCCTGATCCTAACAGTCTGAAGTCAAGAAATAGGCTGGAAGAATGAGCAAGTAATAAAAGAATCCCACCATTAAAAGCTATTGTAGTGACAGGAACTTTCAAGACACAAAGCCAGGAGAAGAGGATGGCACCAAAACATCTACAAGCAAAGCCTCAAAGAAAACCACAGCTTGGGGACAAGTTCAGCGAGAATTCCTGGAAGAGATGAAGTGAGTTAAAACAAGTTTAAAAATATTTTTAGAAATGAAATGAGAATGCTAAAGGGAAAAAATTAGAAAAGAAATATGAGCTATGGAAGAAAGACTTGGAAAGGGGATTAAAAGTTTAGCACAATAGGTACAAAACCTTACCCAAAGATCAAACTCCCTAAAAATTAGAATGGACAAAATAGAAGCTAATGACATCATGAGACAATGAGAAATATTACAACAGTCAAGAGACTGAAAATATAGAAGAATTTCTAAGGTATCTCATGGCAAACAGTAAATAGGGAAGTCTGGAAGAAGGGGTGGTTTAGGGAGAGAGTTCCATTTTGCATATGTTGAGTTTAAGCTATCTGCAATTTAAGTTTAAGATATTTTCAAGATATCCAGTTGGAGATGTCCCGTAGGCAGTTAGAAATTTGAGATGGGAGGTCAGGAGAGAGATTAGGGTTTGATAAATATATTTGAGAATTGTTGCATATAAATAATAATTAAATCTATGGCAGCCAATGAGATCACCAAATGAAATAGTAAATAAAGAAGGAGAAGAGGGCTCATGACAGAACCTTGGTAGGGGACACTAACGGTTAGTAGATAACTGTGTGAAGATTTAATAAGGAGACTGAGGAGTGGTCAGGAGAGAAATCCAGAAAGGATGATATCAAGGAGAAGAAAAGAGTACTCAACAGTGACTGAGATTGCAGAGGTCAAGAAGGGTGAGGATTGAGAAAAAGCCTTGGGATTTGGCAATGAAGAGATCATTGGTAACTTTGGACAGAGCAGTTTCAGTAGAATAATGAGGCTGAAGGTGAGACTGCAGAGAGTTAAGAGAATGAGAGGAAAGGCAGTGGAGGCACTGATTGTAGACAACTTTCTCAAGGAGTTTAGCCATTGAAGGGAGGAGAGATGGAGGACGGTTGCTGTTGGGGATTTGGGTTGGGGGGGGTGATACGTGACTTGTGTACATCATTCACCCACAGCCATCACTTGCCTCCCCATTCTCGAGAGAAAGGTTGGGTTGGAGACCTATCTAGCAGCTATGATATAGGATAGAGCTAATAAGGGTAGTCGCTAATTTTTGACTGCAGACAAAAATTATATTACTATACATCATGTTACATATTTCATATTACTAATGAAATTTCTTTAAGGAGATTTTAAAGTCTTCAGGGAATATGGTATTAGCTCAAGAAGGAATTTTAAGGAAAAAGTTCCAAGTCATAAGTGCCCCTTTAATAATAACTGGCATTGATAGAGCCCTTTCCTCTCGATAACCCTGAGATGCCACCATTTTTCAGATGAAGAAACTGAGGCCCTGAGAGATTGGATTTGAAGCAGTATTCAAATCCAAGTTTCCAGACTTCAAATCCTGTGCTTTTCCAATGGATCCCACTGCCTCTCCCTTAATGAGAGAGACATTCAGAAAGGCATTTGTTGACAGATCAAAAATCTTTAAAGGGAGCAGGCTCGGGAAGATCACTGTCCTTGAATTGTATTCCTAAAGCTGCTGGGTTAGCTTGTTGTTGGCCTAGCTTGCCAACAATTTTTTATTCCCTACCTGAGATTTTGGCATGTGTTTGAAATCTTTGGGGAGAGAGGGTGCTGGGAAATTTTGTCAATTTATTTTACCAACAGTCACTTCCATGAGCTTTAGAGTTTACAATTTTTCTCCCCGCCCCCAAAGATGACGTGCAATCTGATATAGGCTTTACGTATAGATTCCTATTAAACATGGTTCTGGGAAATTTTAGAGCATACATGTTCTGTACCACACTCCTCAGCCAACACACGTTTTCTGAGCACCAGTTACATGCAAGGCTCTCACAGAATTTACAGCACACCTAACAACATACCAGGCAGTGGATGTGAAATGCCAACCAAGTGGCATCGACCTTCTCCCCTCCTCCCCCTGCACCAAGTACCAGATGGCAGACATAGCCGAACTTGGCCATTGGGTTTGTGCCTTTTACTTGGCTAACGTCTCTACTCAGTGCTGCTAGACTCTGGTGCCAAAACTTCGTGCTTCCTAGGAACTCATCAGAAACTTAAATGTGAGTCGTGGCTGAACTGGGCTTATGGCTTTAAGGCAATGATCATAACAGACAACCTGAGAAAAATAGTTCTGCAAATCTATACAGAATGGTAGGGTTGCCCTGGTACTTTGGGGCTTTTCAGTGTGTACTATTAACTAACCCACAGAGAAGGTTATCTGACTGGAGGTATAAAACTATTAGTGATGGGTGGGGAGACCAGGTGACCTTGCCCAACTATGTAGACTAATTATGGAAGGAAGAGGTCCAATGAATTTTCAGAAAAATTCATTCCAAGGATAGGGAGGGAAATTTTCCTTATTATCTTTTTTTTTTCTTCTTCTTCTGTATCTTTCTCCTCCTTCATCTTCCCTACAGATGGCAGTGGGGCCATCTGAGTGTCCAGTGGGGGGTTCACTGACCTTCCCAGGCCGGGGAGCTGGTGGTGCTGGGGTAGGGGCAACCCTGGCCCCACTAGGGCCTCCCAAGCTGCCCCCACATACCATCCTGAGCACCGTCCCTCGCCAGATGTTCAGTGATGCAGGGAGTGGAGACGATGCCCTGGACGGCGATGATGACCTCGTGATTGACATCCCCGAATGACCACCTACCCTAGCCCCTTCCCTCCCTCTGGTTGCCAGGTGGCAATGGCAACAGAAGCAGCAAAGACAAAGAGCAGTCAGTGTGTTTTTGGAGACATTTATTGATGCCCAGTCTTATGTCTGGACATTGACAATCAGAAGAGGCGTAAACATGCAGCAAGGCGCCCCCGAAGAAGAGGCGGGGAGGCAGCCCCCAGCCCTGAAAGCCGGGCACGTGCCGCATTTGGGTTTGCAGCCAGTGGTGTGCAGGGAAGGCAGATGGACTGTAGAGGTCAGCACAGGGCTTCCTTTCCCCTCTGCTGCCACGTGCTTTGCCTTCCTCTCTCGCCCTGGATGCAGCCAAAAGAAAAGGAACAGCCAAGGGGGCCTCTGCCTCCCCTTCTTGAAGGCAAAGGCCCTTGCACCAGCTACCATTTTAATGGGGCAGCTAGATAGGGCTAGTTTGTTTTGTTTTTGTTTTTACTGCAGACTTTTATTAAAGGGGTGCTTGGTGGTTTTATTTTTGTTTTCTGAAATTTTCTCCCTCCCTAACCCCCTCCTAATCCGGTTTACTCCCACTGCAGGGAGTTTTGCCGGGCAGCTTGGAGAGGTGGATGAGAAGAGAATGACCTGGTTGGGGGGAGGGAGCAGGGCAATAAATTCTCTCCCTCCCCTTGCACATGCGAGTGGTATGGTTCATTTGCATATGATATCCCATCAGGCAGTAGGAAATTTGCATATATAGCCCCACCCATCCCCTCACAAAAAAAAACCCATCCCCACAGTAACAAAGTGAATCTCACAAAATAAGACAAGAAGTGTTGAGGGGGGAGAGGGAGAAACTTCTCCCACACCCATCCTCATGTAAACGTGCAACACACTCGTGCGAAGTTGAGTGACAATCACATGGCCCTGTGGTTCCCCCCCCCAAGAAGGGGCTCTTCCTTGCCCCCCCTTTTCTCCCACTCTTGCTAAGGTTCTTAAGGGCCTTTTTCTGGAAAACAGCCTGGGTACCAAGTTCCCTTCTCTTCCCAGGGCTGAAACAGGTGGACTTTTCTGTCTTTTCCTGAGCCCATTGAGATGATAGAGAGTTTGGATTCCTTCTTCCCACCCCTTCCACCCTCTTCCCTTTCCAGGAGTGAAGAGGAGAAGGCACCCAACTGAAGCCCCTGGTTTCCCATGTTCTCTTGCTTCCTCTGTTAGGAAGTAGCCTGTGTCATGGGGCTGGTTGACTGGGGTCCTAGGCGGAGAAGGAGGCAGCAGCAGGGGGCAGTTCGCTGGTCAGGGTATGCCAACGTTCCAGGGTCGCATCTGGTTGCCGAAGACAGTCCCCCCAGTGCTTCAGAGCCTCTCCCCGTGAATTGGGACCCAAGGACACTCCACCTGGGGGGAGGGAAGGAAGGAACCAGTACATAATCCATTAGCTTACTAAGTCCAGTGCCTGAATCGAGCAGCCCTGTTTTTCCCGAAATGCACAGGTGACAAGGTTTCCACATATGAATTTGGTCCCCATGCTGGCCATTGGAGCCAAACCCACTGGAGCCCAGTCTTCTCACCAATGAAGTCATTAGATTTGCCAATGTCGTAGTCCCAGACAGTGACCTCTAAGGTCTTCGTGGCCAGAGCCGGGAGCTCCATCTCGTAGAAGAATTCCTGGGGAGGTAGGGAACATGGAGGGCTACTTTCCCCTACCTTCACCTTTTGGGTTGCCCCAGATTGCTTCCCTGATTTGGCCTCTAATCCTGCTCAACTAAGGAAAAGGGATGACGTGAGCATCAGGAAATCTTTACTGTTGGCCAACTCTTCCCACAGCAGTCTGAAGGCACCATAGGGCTTAGAGCTTTGAGGAAGATGGAATTGAGATTTCATTATTAGAGATGTACGAGCCCAGGGGCCTGTGTATTTCTTGTTGAGGTGGGGTCACCACTAGCGGAAAGGGCTGTCTTCTGAAGTAGAAAACACCCCTTCTAGATTTTCCAGAATCATCCAGGGCAGGATGCTTAAGAAATAATGAGATCCTAGTAGTTAGGATGGAAATAAGTGCTCTTACACAGGAGAGAGGAAGTCACCTTGTGACCTCACCTCATTGATCAATCCTCCCACCTCTTATTGTCTCTACCTCATTTTCTCCTCACCCCTCAGTCACCTCATTAAACTCAGGATTCAGAGTTTTCTTCTTCACTGATGTTTTGTGCTTTGATTTCTTCTCAACATCTGGCCTCAGGTACCTGTGGAGACCACTGTGGGTCAGAATGCCCAGGTTCTGGGTGGCTTCTGGGAAGGGTGGAAGTGGAACTGAGGGTGGGGAGCAAATGCCTGGGGCTGCTGTAGGAGGGCTGAGGACAGAGAACTAGGGATCAATGTGGCCAGTGAGAAGAGCATTTATGGGGCATACAAGTACCTGGTTTCCTGCTACTAACTCATTTTATGACCCGATCTTTAAGGTCCCATTCAAATTAGAAATTTTGCTTCTATGGTTGCAGGAAGAACACTACGGGGTGAGTGAAGTTGCATAGGAAAGGAGACTGGGGGTTGGGAATCAGGACATCTGGGGCCCAGGAAGGGAGTGGGGCTTGGGTCCCTCACGTCTTGACATAGGGGTCTGAGTAGCCGTTGACATCCATGGCTGCGAGATGGGCGCATCGAACAATACCCACAAGCAGCCCTTGGCGCTGAGAGCTATAGGTGAGCCTGAGCAGGATTCGTCCCCGCTCCTCCAGCAGGCCTTGGCCCTGCTCTGCTCTCTCCAGCTAGGAATAAGAGAGACAGCACCTCAGAAACTGGACCCCCATGGCTCTAGCTACACCCAGCCTGCTCTCTTGCTGAATGATATGAAATGATTCTCCCTCTCCCACCCCCTTCCCCCTCTCTTGTCTTTAGGGAGGTGGAGAAAAGTGCTTCCACATCTAGGTGGGAATTGGCCAAGGAGCTAAACCCATCTTAAGGCCAGGGCCCTTCTGCCTTGTGGATTTTTCTTTCCTACAGAAACTGCTCCCTTATTTCTCTTGAAGGAGGAGACTATTGGTTGGGGTAAGGGGTGGGGCATGATTTCCTTACCTCTTTCAGGTAACAGGAAATACCTCTCAGAGCAGCTGTCATGGAAGAAGGTGATGCCAACTAGAGTTCAGACAGAAGAGGAGATTCTAAATGGCAACTATTCCATTCCATCAACCTCCTGAGCTCACAGACCCTCTCCCTTTTCATAAGATCCCCAGCCTCCGGTTGCTGCCCCAGCTATCAGGAAGTCTCAGCTCCACATATTAAAAAACTGACCGGGACCTGTCGCTCCAGACAGATGTTAAAGTGCTTCTTCTGGGAAGGTTTGAGACGGCGAAGTGGTACCCGGGTCTCCCCAATGAACTCATTGTGGCTTAACTTGTCCTCATCACAAACAGAGATCCTGGAGGGACAGAGGCATCAGGGGGTAGTGTCACAGAGAATCCCAGCACTGGAGATTCAACTTCAAGTCAACTCACCTAGGAGTAGGAGGAACCAGACAGGGGGCAGAGATGATGCCCTGAATATTGATGATGACCTCATGATTGACATCCCCTCTCAGGGTGCAGAGGACACTGCAGAAAAGTTGTAGGGGATCTGGAGGGGGATTTTCTCTATATGTGGTGCAGAGAGAGGGCCACCTTGTTACCTAGAGTTGGAGGTAAGGAGCTCATGGAAACATGAAAACTTGTTACATAAAAACTTGGGGGGCCTCACTATTAGGAACCCGTGGGAGTAAGAGCACACTAGAAGCCCAGCCCCACCCAATCCACCTTCCTTTCACTGATTAGCAGGAACATATCATGTGGAAATGGCTCCCCTTCTCTCTTCCCTCTTCTCCATGTTTTGGACAGCTAAGCAGGAATTAAGGAAGGAATGATCTGCCCTGGGAGCTCTTGGAAAATATAGGAGAGGTCTCCTCTCCAGTATGAGAAAAACTTTTTCTACTTGTGTGACCACCTCCAATTATGGGCCGCATGTCCCCATGTCCCTAAGCCCCGACATTATTGGTAACCAAGTGTCCTTGTTCCACATCTTCGAGGCCCCAGTCCACAGCTGCATTTAACCAGCCAAAGATGGGCATTAGTCCAGGCAGGAGGGACTCTCTAGTATCCACATTCCCCATTTTCCTGGGGAAAAGAGCTGGAATGGGGGCCAAGATCAAGAGGAACTCTTCCTTTACTCCCTCTCTCCCAAACCTCCTCAGCCACAGAGATGGAGATGGTCTGGGAGAGAGTGGCCCCAGGTTAACCGAGACTAGTCCACCCCAGGAGATAACAGTTTCCAGCCTACAGGCTCCATAGTCCGGCCAGTTTGTGGTAGAAAGTAGTCAGGGTCTAAGGATGCTGATGGGAACTGGAGGCAGCCTTGGCCTCAGAGCTGTTGGGGGAGGGAAAAAAAGGGCCTGTGCACCTAGGGAGGCATCAACCCTGTTAGTCCTGTATTAATTCCTTTGTATGTCTTGGTCTCATCTGCTCCATACCTGTTTTCTTTTCCAAGTTTAAATCCACTTCCTCTAACCTTGATCCCATTCCCTCCTGCCTCCTTTTAGACCTTGTTTCACCAATTATTCCTTCCATCTTCTATCTCTGCTGGTTCTTTCCTCACCACCTACACAAACACATTCATATCTCCTCTTTTCTAACAAAACATTGGCCTGACCCTACTGCCGCCTCAAACTACCTTTCTATTTCTCTCCTTTCCTTTCCTTCCAAACTCCTTATGTGATTTATTCTACATTCACTGCCTCCACTAACTCACCACCCACTCATTCCTTAATCCCCAGAAATCTGGCTTCTGTCCCCATCACTCTACTGACATTGTTCACTCCAAGGTCATCAATGCCTTCCTCTCTGCTTAATCTAAATGGTCTTTTCTCAGTCTTCATCCTTTTTGCCCTCTCCTTATCATTTGACACTATTCTCCATCTCTTTCTGGATACTCTTACCTTTGGCTTCTGTGACACTGTAATATCCCAGCCCTCCTCCTAACCCTCTGACAACTCCTTCTTTGCCTCTTTCATTGGCTTCTCTTCTTCCTTCTGTTCTCTTACTGTGGGTATCCCTCAACGTTTGGTCCTCAGCCGTCTTCTCCCTGTTCCTCTAAATACTCTTTCCCTTGATGATCTCATCCACTCTCACAGCTTCAACTATTATTTCTATGCAGATGATTTCCAAGTCTCTCTTTCCAGCCCTCATCTCTTTTTCCTGAACTCCAGACTCATATCTCCAGCCATCTGCTGTGCAGCTCCACCTGGATGTTTCATGAGCCCTACAAACGCAACATATGCAGAATCAAACTCACTGTTGTCTTTCCTAAACCAGCTCTTCCTTAGTTCCTTATTTCTATTGATGACACTACCATTTCCCCAATCACCCATGATTAATTATATAGTTGCATTTCATTCTTCCCTTTCCCTATCAAAGAAGTGGCAGGACTTGGCCACTGATTAGGTGTATGGGTCAGATTATAAAGGGTCTTGAGCAGCAGAAAGAATTAGACTTGATGGAGTAAGCTCATCAAACCCATATTGATGGGGGCAGCTAGGTGGTGCAGTAAATAGAGCTACAGCCTTGGGGTCAATAGGACCTGAGTTCAAATCCAGCCTCAGACACTTGACATTTACTAGCTGTGTGACTCTGGGCAAGTCACTTAACCCCAACTGCCTCACCAAAAAAAAAAAAAAAACACCTGTATCGATGGAGCAAACTCAGATGAGAAAATTATGTAAAGTGCTTTGTAAACCTTATAGAGTCATATTGTCAATTACTTTTATAATTTATCTCAATCTCATCTTTTTGATGAAGTTCAAATAGAAATAGCTCTTTTTATATAATAGTAGTAATAATAATTCTTAATAGTTATAATTATTTATTATTATGCTATTGTGAGCTATTGCAGGTATTTGATCAGAGGCTTACTGGACTGAGAGTCATGTTTTAGGAAGATGAAGTTAACATTGAGCCTGGTGATCAGAAAGGGAAGGATTGGAACCTGATCAACCGAGGAAGGAGAGAATTTTTAAAAGAAGGGGGTGGTTAACAGTGTCATGTATTATGAAAATGTCAATAGGTGTGAGGACTTAGACCTTCCGAAAGTCACTTACCCTCTCTGGGCCTCAGTTTCCTCATCTGTAAAATTCAGGGGTTGGACAAAATGATCTTTAATGCTCCTTCTAGCTCTAAATATATGATCCCAGGAGACCGCTAGATGTGGCAATAAGATTACCCAAACTTTAGAACAATTTCAGTAGGGTGCATGATGGGAACAGAGACCAAACTTCAGTGGATTGAGGAGTGAATGGGGGGAAGGGAAGGGACGCACCAATGTATACTACTCTTTCTAAATGTTTGCCCGTTAATTATAAGAGAGCTAGATTAATAGCTCGAAGGATCAACAGGGTAAAGAGAAGGGTTATTTTTTTTTTCAATATAGGAGTGATGTGAATATGAATGAAGCCGGGAACAGGGGTGGAAAGTGGAGATGGGGAGCATAAAGATCTTTGTGGGGGGTGACTTCCTTAAAGGTCAAGGCCCCAGGAAGAGATGGAAAGGGATAACTTAGATCAAGAGCTTTCTGGGCCTCACCTGAGCACCTTTCGGGTGATGTCCTCATCGGTAATCCCCCGGTACATTAAGTCTTCATTCCACACAGGGTTCAGTGTGTTCCTCTGAGTCTTGGTCTTCAGCTTGTTGGCCTATTGGTCATAAAAGGGGTAAAGGGTTCCCCAAAGGGTAGGGAGGACCCACAAAGGGAGGGGAAAAAAAAACAGAGCCTAAGGTGGAAGAGGAGGAATCTAGTCAATTATAAACTCCTTGAGGCCAGTCTTTTCTTTTCTCTTTTTCTTTTTGTTTGGTTAGGTAATTGGGGTTAAATGAATTGCCCAGGGTCACACAGCTAGTGTCAAGTGTCTGAAGCTGGATTGGAACTCAGGTCTTCCTGACTCCAAGGCCAGAGCTCTATCCACTTTGCTACCTAGCTGCCCCGAGGCCAGTCTTAATTACTTTTGTATCTCAGTGTCTAGCACATAGTAGAAGCTTAAAAATAATGATGACGATAATGATAATAATAACAATAATACATTAAGTTGATTCAGGAAGATTTTTTGGCTCTACAGAGAAGTTAGCAAAAAAGGGAAAGGCTCTCACTACTTAGAGGGATAAGGGAAAAGATTCTAGCAAAGAATATGGAGATGGAAATAGGAAGAATGGGGAAGAAGATTGGGGGACCTCAAGAGGGGGAAATACCTTGCACGCCCCTGGTAGGAGGTGTAGTTTGACGTAGGGATCAGCCAGGCCGTTGAAGTCCATGGGTTTGAGACCCTGTTCATGGAGGGTTAGGCAAGAGTAGTGATTCCTCTCAGTTCCCCCCTTCCCTGAGCCTAGGGAGATTCTCCAGACCTCCCAAAACCCATTACCTCCTCCCCCATCTTAAGGATACATAACCAAGAAAAGGCTAGGGAGAGGAGAGTATATAGGAAGGCCAGGGAGATGAAAACAGAGATTAAAACTGAAACTCAAAGAGAAATGGAACAATAGTGAGTCAAACAAAAGCTAAAGATGACAAACAGAGACAGGAAGCTGGGGAGGAAATGTTCAACTTGGGAGGGCAGAGGGAAAAAAGGAAAGAAGGAATATCCCACCACTGACCTGTATCAGTAACTGCTAGGGCCCTGGGAGAAGGGAACAGGGCTGTGGGGAAGAAAGGAGGGGCTGGGCCTGTAGAAGTGTGTCAGGGACCCACCTTAGCCCTGAGGATGCTGCAATGGAGAGTGCAAGTTGCCTGATCATAGAGAAGGTCAAACTCTAGGGTACCCAGGGCAGCTGTAGAGAGAGGTCCATTCACATCTCAAATTTAATGTGTCTGAAAAAGAACTCATCTCCCTCACCCACCCCTCTTCCCCCAGCACACACCAACTGCCTCCAAATCTCCAATTTTTGTTGAGGGCACCACCAATTTTTCATACTCAGCAAAGGTGGAAAGTCATCCTCAAGTCTTCTCTTTCCTTCTCTCCCTGTAGACAATCAGCTGCCAAGTTTTGTCATTTCTACCTCTACATCTTCTACATCCATCCTCTTTTCCCTTTTTCATAGACACCAACCCTAGATCATATCCTCATTACCTCTTTCCTGAACTATTTCTAATAATATTTTATTTTCCCCCAATTACATGTAAAAATAATTTTTAACATTTAGTTTTTTCCCTAAAGTTTTAAGTTCCAAATTCTATCCTTCCTTCCCTTTCTTCCTCCTTCCCTAAGATAGTAAGCAATCTGATATAGGTTATACACATAGAATCATATAAAATTTATTTCTATATTCATCATTTTGTGGAAGAAAACTTGAACCAAAAAAGAGAGAAGGAAGGAAGGAAGGTAGGTGAAAAATAATGTGCTTTGGTCTATATTCAGATGCCATCAGTTCTTTCTCTGGCTAGCATTTTTCATCATGAGTCCTTTAAGGTTGTCTTGGATCATTGTATTGCTGAGAACAGCTAAATCATTTACAATTCATCATATATTGCTGTTATTGTACTATGCTTACTTCACTCAGCATCAGATCATACAAGTCTTTCCAGGTTTTTCTGAAATCATCCGGCTCGTCATTTGTTATAGCATAATACTCTATTACAATCATATACCACAACTTGTTTAGCCATTTCCCAATTGATGGACATCCTTTCAATTTCCAATTCTTAGCTACCATGAAAAAGAGCTGCTATAAATGTTTTTTTACAAATAGGTCCTTTTCTTATTTTTAAAAAATCTCTTTAGGATACAGACCTAGCAGTAGTATTGCTGGATCAAAGGATATAGCCCTTTGGGCATAGTTCCAAATTGCTCTCCAAAATAGTTGGATCAGTTCACAACTCTACCAACAGTTTATTAGTGTCCCAGTTTTCCCTCATCCCCTCTAACATTTATCATTTTTCTTTTCTGTCATATTAGTCAATCTGAAAGATGTGAGGTATACCTTGGAGTTGTCTTAATTTGCATTTCTCTAATCAGTAGTGATTTAGAGCATTTTTCTTATGACTACAGATAGCTTTGATTTTTTTTTTGTCTGAAAACTGCCTGTTCATATGCTTTGATCATCTATCAGTTGGGAAATGACTTGTATTTTTATGAATTTGAGTTAGTTATCTATATAATTGGGAAATGAGGCCTTTATCAGAGATATTTGCTGTAAAAATATTTTCCCAGTTTTCTTCTTTCCTTTCAATTTTGGTTGCATTGGTTTTGTTTGTACTCTTTCTTGAATTACTACAATAGTCTCCTAATTGTGCTCTCCCTTCTTTATTCAAGTCAGAGATTACCATCCTAAGGCCAAATCTGACTATATTACTCTTCAATATAAAAAACTTCAATGGTTACTTATAGTCTAGCAGAAAATAAAATACCTCAGTCTAGTATCTAAAGCCCTCCACAACCTTCCCAGATATTTAATATTACACCTCTTTACGTGCTTAACATTCTAGCCATGACCTACTAACTGATCCCTGAATTCAATATTCCAACTCCAATTTCTGTCTTGGAACAGACTCTTCCTCATACCTGGAATTAACTTCCTCCTCACCTGTGCCTCTTAAAATCCCTAGTTTCCTTGTAAGGTTCAACTCAGGTGCGACCTTCTCTGAAAAGCCTTTCCTGTTCACCAGAGTTGTAAATGCTTAATCTCTCCTAAAATTACATTGTTTTATGCTTAACTGTGTATACCACATGCCACTCCACCCCACCCCCTGAAAATGCAAGGTCTTTAAAGGCAAGGACTATTTCATTGTGTCTTTATATCCCCATCCATTGCCTAGAATAATGCCTGGTACAGTAAGTATTAAGGAGGTACTTTGTACTTAAAGATATTGGAGCACTTAATAAACGTTTCTCAAGGTAAAACTGAGAGGCCTGCATTGTGTGTGAGTTTTTGTGATAGGACCCTCTGTGTGTGTGTGTGTGTGTGCATCTGTATGAGAGGGAGAAATGAATGCCTTGTATATGAGTATGTGACAATATGAGTGTGACTATGTGTAGATTTTCCATGTGTGCATGAATTTGAGTGTCTGTATTTGTATGTATATGTGTGTGTATGTATGTATAGAAAGTATGTAAAATAATTTCTGTGTATACGTGTACCTTGTGAGGTCTGAGGATGAGTGACATTCTATGTGTCAAGAAATATGTATGTATGTAACTTTGTATGTGACTGTATAAGTGACTATGTTTGTGTGTGTGTGTCAGAGAGACAGAGAGACACTTGCTCTTGCTTCTCTGTCCTCAGCTGTGGCTGTGGCTTGAGCTCCGTGTAGGTGGGAGTGTATCTCAGCACAAATATTTAATATTGAGGCTGGCAGATGTAATGTCACTGATTACAGTAGCTAGGCTGCAGCATCAGGGCCTCTCTCTCCCCAAAGGACCCTGGTGTCCCTGGCTCCCCTTCCTCCTCCTTTAGGGCCCTCTATCTCCCAAGCCTCCCCTTCCCAGTGCTCCGAGGGGCCTCCCCCTGATCAGCTATCCTGAGACCCCAGTATCTTCCCTGTTTCCCCAGACTCACTGGTATCATCTGAGTCATAGCTGTCCACTTCAGCCCCCTCCTCAGAGGCCCCAGCCCCTCGAATACCAGCCCCAGGGGACAGAGCCAGGGGGGTTAGGCTGGGTGTAGCTGCAGCCCCAGTCCCTGGAGACAGCTGGGGGTAGGGGCCTGCTCCACTCCCGCCACCCTCAGGCCCTAGCCGAGGAAAATAGTCAGAGATCTGCCGGATGGGTCGAATGGGGCCAGGGCACACGTTGATGGCCATGTGCTCCTGGATGTTGATGGTCATCCGGTCACCCCTCCGGCCCCTCATTCACACACGTCTCCCCTGGGAAAAGGAGGAAAGGGAAAGTTAGCTGTGGATCCCTGTCCTCTAAAAAATAAATGGCCTTTCCTCTTCACCCTTTTCCTCTATATTCCCCCCCTCCCCTAGCCTTCTGGGCATCATCCTCCTGGAGGACAGTAAGGGTCCTGCTCTGGGGGTCTGGCCTCCAAAGAATGGGAAATGAGAACAGATGCCCCCAGAGGAGGCTCTGGAATCTCAGGGCCTGTTAGGATGTGGGGGGAGGGTAGGAGGAGGTCATCCCTCTTGGGAGGTGCTAGGGGCAAGAGCAGAGGAGATAGTAGCAGAGCCTTGGGGGGACAGAGCTAGATCATCCTTATAAAGGACCGTGGAGGGCCCCAAATGGGATCTCTGTGAGGGCTTAGGTGGACTGGAACCTATATCCTCATAAGCAGCCAAACCACAGAGCTTCTCCCCTGTGGAAGTGAGTTAATTGCCTGTGTCTGCCAGGCCTTCATTGACTTAAATTCTTGGGCCTAAAATGGAATGGTTATGGGGGACGACAGACAGCATATGGACAAATAGGGAGGGTGGCTGGCTTGACCCTGTCCTCCACCCTCAGCTTCCTTTCTAACCAGAGCCCATCCCTCTCTGGCCCTCACTTGGCCCCGAGAGGCTGGAGCCTGACTCCAACCCCGTTCCATCTCAAACTCTTGTCTTATTCCCCCACCTGCAGGAAATTTCCCTGGACAGAGGTTCTGACTTTCTTGCCCTTGGTCTCAACCCTCCTCCTGAACTCCCTCTGTCCTTCCTGTCCCTCATGGTACCTAGATTCCTCCCCGGAGGCTCTGTCTCCCCACCAGGCTCAGTCTGAGTTCCCCCCTCCCCCCTCCCCCCTCTCCTGTCTGTCTCTTGGGCTGTCTGTCCTCCCTAGACTCCATTTATCCTCTGGGCTATCTGCTCCTCCCGGACCTCTGTGCCTCCCCATTCTGTTTGTTCATCCCTTCTTCCCCCTGAACCCCTATTCCTTAGGGCCTGCTGGGGGAGCCCCTTGCTCTCTTCTCCTCACCTGGCACTGGACTTCCCGACTGCCGACTGCCGATAGATTGCAGTAAATGAGAGAGAGATAAACACAGATTCCCCAGACACACAACCTCTTTCCCCACCTCCTCCCCCAACACACACACCCAGCCCAGCCCAGCCCAGCCCCTTCCACCTGTCTCTGTGGTCCAACAGGTGCTTGAGAACCAGGGGGACAGCAGAAAGGGAGTCTCAGAAGGTGCAGGGAGAGGTAGCAGCAGGGAACGCAGAGACAGGAGGAGATTCCAGAGGTGGAGAGAGAGGAGTCCGGCTGTGCGTGCTTGTGTGTGTGTGTGTGTGTGTGTGTGTGTGTGTGTGTGAGAGAGAGAGAGAGAGAGAGAGAGAGAGAGAGAGAGAGTGCCTGCTGGGGAGGAGGGGGTGAGGGAGGTGGAGGCGAAGATGAAGCAAGGGAGAGGGAGAGAGAGATGGATGAAGAGAGAGGGACAGAGGGACAGACAAAGAAGAATAGAATAAGCTTGGGTGGGAGGTACATACATACACACTCATACATAGAACAGGGCCCCCCAACACACACACACACACACACACACACACACACACACACACACACGCTCACACAAATTCCATTCACACATGCAGTCCTCCCTCACATGCATTCATGACATATTCATATTTACCACACCCACATGCATCATACACGGTCATATACACACTCACCGACACACATGCTTATACACTCCCCGCAGTCTCAAACACACTTATTCACATACGTATTCATGTCTGTATCACACAGAGACACATGAATCCACATTCATACAAACACTCATTAATTCACATGTGATCACACATGTATCCATAGGATACCTCAAAATCCCCTACTTTCACAACACACCGCTATGCTCACAGACAGATACACTCGTGATCATTCATACATTTGTACGAATTAATATGCACACACAAACACGAGTTCATACACACACAGAGTTCTGGGTTTCCAGGATTTCCAGCACCAGGGACAGAGTGAGAAATGCCTGGTATTTCCCAGCTCCTTCCTCACAGGGAGTCCCCTTTCTTCCCCTTTTTTCCCATAGATTTCCCCTGCTTGCCCCTGCTCCTACTTCCCTTTTAGAACACCCCGGGGGCCTGGCCCCCTATTCCCTACTACCGCCCCTGCCCTCCTGAATCTGCTCAATGCCTCACTCTTGGGTCCCAGGTGACTGGGCCTGAGGTATGGCTGGCTCTGCCAAATTCAGGGAAGCACTGGGTCCTGGTTGCCATGGCAATGCTTGCTCATCTTTTTCTCCACCCCAACCCTCCTTCAACCTTCTTGCTCCCAGACTCCCCCTCCTCACACCAAAGAACATAGATTCTGGGCTCTGCTAAGGGGGAAGGGACTTGGTTCCACCAGCTCCTGATTAGCCTTTCCCTCATTCTCTCCCTCAGTCCTTCCCTCAATCTCCCCTCTTTTCACTCCCCCCTTGGTTTCTCCCTCCCTCCTCCCCAGTCTCCCTTCTCTCTTCACTCCCGCCTGAGGTGTCTCCCTTTGCTTTTCATTTTGTTCGCCCTCTCTCCCCTTCACACACATCCTAGCTCCTAGTACCCTCCTAGATCAGTCCCCTCAGTGAAGGGGGCCTGCCTATTTTGATCGTCTTTTCCCCAATCAGAGCAACTGCTTCGTGTCCTAGGCTCTGAGATGGTGGCTATCCTTCCCCTCACCCCCAGACTCATTTGCCTCTACTAGGTTTTCCTTCCCTGCTGGGGCGGGCCAGTTCACCATCAATTCATAGAGGGTTTCCACTTTCCTCACTAGCCTGAGGGAGGGGAATGGGGACTGGAAGATCTCAGCTAATTATAGGCTAATGAGGCAGCTGGTATCTGGCAGCCTCCAGAGACGGGGGCGGGGGCCAAACCAGCAGTGCAAGGCTATAGAGGGGGTGGGAGCGATCAGCCTCTCTTCCTCCCTACTCTCCTTTTACTGCTTGGGGTCCCCCTTAACAGGGTCCAGACACTTTCCCTTCCGGATTGGAATGTCTGGCTACAGCCAGCACATGGTTGCTGTCTTTGAGAGCTGGGGGAAAATCTTGATGTTTAGGAAGGTGGGCCTAGGGTCTGGATGTATGGGTGAGGGGCTGTGGGAACAAAAGGAGGGATGAAAGAGGCGGATAGAGTCTGAGAGATGAGAGAGTGGAAAGGGAGGGGAAATCAGAAGGGAGATGGAGGGTGAGGGATGGGGGTACTGTTTCAAGTAGGAAGACTGGTGGGTGGACGGTAGTAACTGGGGCGGGGGCAATGGGGGAAGAGTAAGTTACATGGGAAGTGAAGGAGGGAATGGAAAGGAAGACAATTTTCAGGCCAAGAGTGGCGATTGTATTTAATAGGAAAGGTCTCTATGTAGGTAGCAGGGTGTGTCTTACCTGCTGGAAATTTGCCTTATGTTGGATTTATGAAGGGGGTTAGATGAGACAGGCTGTAAGATTCTATAATAACACTCAGATTCTATATTCAGAAGGCTTGACTTGTGGCTGGGGATGGAGTGGAGAGAAGGAAGAAGGAGGAACTATCTTTTGTCCCCAATTCTGCAATCTGACTCAGCTCTTCCCTTCCTGTTTCCTGGTCTAGGCAGATGATGGATGGTGACACTTCCCAACCCTCCTCCTAGCCTGGCCAGAGCCGAGCCATCTTATTGGTCCCGAACTTGTGTTCTATCTGGTCACTCCTCAGACTACTTAGGGTTGTAGTTATTTCTTTAAGTTCCTAAAGACAAGGATTGTATCCTGTTCATATTTTTGTTTTCTCAGTGTTTTATACAGAGTGGGCACATAGTTAATACTGAGTAAATAGCTGTTGAATATGGATGAACGAACCTATTATCTCAGTAGTGGAAGCTTGGCTCCTTATTAGTCAAAAGAGAAAGGTAGGAAGTAACTCCAGGTAATGAATCAGGGAAAGCATTTCCAGCATTCAAATTATATCTTAAAATAGTAAAAAGCTGTAATCAGCAGTAGCTCGGTGATACATTGGATAACATCTCTGTACTTGGAGTCATGAAGACCTGAGTTCAAATCTAGCCTCAGACACTAGCAGTGTGACCCCAGGCAAATTGATAAATCGATTAACCTCTTAGCCTCAGTTTCCCTATCTATAAAATGAGGATAATAATAGCACCTACTTCTCAGGGTTGTTGTGAGGATCAGAAGAAATATCTGTAGCGTTTTTCAAAGCTTAAAGCACTATGTAAATTCTAGCCATTATCCACAAAAGTTTTTGGTTCTGGTTAAAAATAGAAAAACAGATCACTGAAACAGATTAGATAAGGAAGAATCAGAAAAAAAAATCAAACTCAACAACTTAGTGTTTGAAAAGCTTGAGAGCATAAAATAGTTGAGGAAGAACTCCTTATTTGATAAGAACTGGGAAAACTGGAAAGCTATTTGGCAGAAATTAAATTTGGACCAGCGTCTTATACTTTGTACCCCAATAAATTCAAGCATCTTACACTTATACCACAATAAGTTTTAAATGGATATACAACATGAATATTGAAGATCATGCCATAAAAAATAAAAGAGAGGGGCAGCTAGGTGGTGCAGTGGATAGACCACAGGCCCTGGATTCAGGAGAACCTGAGTTCAAATCCAACCTCAGACACACAACACTTACTAGCTGTGTGACCCTGGGCAAGTCACTTAATCCCATTGCCTAACCTAAATAAATAAATAAAATAAAAGAGAATGAGGTCAGGTACTTTTCAGTTATGGGTAGGGGGACAGTTTTTAACTAAAGGATTGAGGAGATCACAATAGATAAAAATAGATCATTTGGGTTACATTAAATTGTGCAAAGAAAATCATTGCAATTAGGAAAACACTTTTATATAAAGATGTCTTTCATAAGTATCTGATATCCAAGATGTGTAGGGAACTAACACGAATATATAAGACCACCATTCCCTGGTGGATATGTAAGTGACCAAAAGATATAAACAAAGAGTTTTCAAACAAATTGCAAACTAATAACAACAATATGAAAGATTATTGCAAATACATCTGTGACAGAAATGGCCATTTGTCCATCAAAAGAGAGCTCAATATTGAAATGCAAGAGAGGAATCAAATGTGAACCCTTGGGTTTGGGGACCTATCAGCATATCTGGAGGCCAGAATGGAGGAGGTGGAAGTATGGCGGTGGACAAATGCTTTGTAGAAAGGGTTAGATCAAGAGGTGCCTTGAAAAAGACCTTTTCCTCCACACTATTTATGATCCCTGAAGGGTGAGGAGCAATAGAACCTGAGAAGGGCACCTATGGATTTGAATGTTCAAGGATCCAACCTTTTAGAGAAAGAAAAGGAGTTCCAGGGAAGTGCTCAGACTCTTGGAGAGAGAAGAGGAGCCTGGAGTCTAACCTCCTATTGAGAAAAGAGGGAACTCCTGGGCAGTACCAGACTCATGGGAAGAAGGTGACCAGACACACAGTCCAACAAGCTTGAAGAGCAGTAAGGAATCAAGTCACAAAACGGTGGAAGCAAAAAACCTAGAACTTACCTTCCTGGACCTATTACCATAATTTCTTTCTTTCTTTTTTAATTACCATGATTTCTTCAGATAGTGAGGTCAAATCATATGTCATTTGCTTGTCTAGTAATTCCAAATGCTTTTCCCTTCTACCCCAGGCACTGATGTAAATGGTTAACAACTTGATCTCAAAAAAAAAAAAGTATCCATGCTACACTTTGAAGTTTAATTTTCAGTATTACCATTTTCTCCATCACTTTCTTAAATCTAGACAATTAATTAATAAACAAAACAATAACTCAAACCCTGATTTGTAGCATTTGTCAGTTTCCAAGATATAAATGCTCTCTTTGAAAATTTAATAATCTGGTTCAAGCTGGCTCCAGAAAACTCCTGCTTCCAGGAGAGCAGAAGCCATCAGAGAATTGCCATAAGACTGAATGCCTGAATGAATCTCTCTGGTGAAAGTGAGACTCACTAGAATCACCCCTCTAGTAACTCCACATTTATTTCTCTTTCTAAGGGAATCCAAACCACAAGATGGCACTATGAGTCTGGGAGCCATAGGGCCCTAGGAAAAGGGGAGACTAACTGGTATGTGAGAATTATTTCAATTCTTTATAGGTTAATGTGAGTCCTTCGTGTGATATATTCTATAGGGGTGAAATAAAAAGCTCTCCTATGTCTGACAGGTATTTCAACTTAAGCATTTCATAGGAACTGGGGACCTTATGGGTAAAAGACCACTAGAGCTATATTCTAAATAAATTTAGACATTTCCCAAAAATTTGTGGAGGAAAAAAAAAA